TAAAGGAAGTTTTTTGTGTTTTTGCCAATGATATACGGCAGGTTCCTTCCACACTATCATTCTCTGAGGTTCTGCCTGTGCACAACACTCAGAACAACAGGCGGCTGCGTATTGAGGACTTGAACTTGTGGCTTGGTGAATGGTGTCGGGAGCAAGGATTTGGCTTCAAACTGTACCAAAAAGATGGTGTGCATCTTTCTCAAAATGGATCAAATGTTCTCAGTGAGCATTTCAGAGGTTTTGCTAGGATGTATTTAAACTAGGAGGAGGGGCAAAAGGGTGTTAAAACATCAATCCAATTGCCCCCCAAAACAAGTACAAAAGGTGCCTGTAGCAAGTGTGTTAAAAAATGATAAGCTTAGAGCCATGTCTACAAATGTTCGCAGTTTAGGGAATAAGATCCATGAACTTATGGCAATAATGGCAATTGATAATGTAGATTTAGTCGCTGTTACTGAGGCATGGTATATTGAGAAAAATGACAGGGACATAGCAATACCAGGGAACTCTTTAAATAGAAAAGACAGGGAAGGCAAGGTTGGCCCTGTATGTGAAGGATAGCATAAAATCTAGCCTAATAAAAATGAAATGAACATAGAGTCCATTTGGGTTTCGTTAGAATTTGGAAATCACACAGTAACTTGTGTTGGTGTGATTTATGGGCCCCCAGGACAAATAGAAGAGTTAGATAATCTACTAGTTGAGGAAATAGCTAAAATGACATTGAGGGAGGAAGTTATCATCATGGGTGACTTTAATCTTCTTGATGTGAACTGGAAAACCAAAATAGCTGCTCGTGCCAGGAGCACACATATTCTAAACTCCCTACTGGGATTGTCTCTAAAACAAGTCGTTGAGGAGCCAACTCGTAAAGAGGCCATACTAGATTTAATGTTAACAAATGGAGATTTGGTATCAGATATAACTGTAGGTGAAAGTTTAGGATCCGGTGATCATCAGTCAGTGTGGTTTAATATAAGAACAGTGACTGAGTCACACCACACAAAAAAAAATGTTTTAGTCTTTAGAAAAACAGACTTTTCTAAAATTTGGGAATTTTTTGAAAGTTGCACTGCTGAAGGCAACAGAAAATTGCATTAGGCTTACCAGTAAAAGCAAAAAATGTAAGAAACCACTGTGGTACTCCACAGATGTGGACAAAATAGTAAAAAACAAAAAAGTTAGCATTTAGTAATTATAAGAAAACCAGAGTGAAGAAGATAGACATATCTATAAGATTAGGCAGAAAGAAGCTAAGCAAGTTATAAGAGCTTCCAAATCACACACAGAAGAGAAAATAGCACAGTCAGTAAATTATATTTAGATACGTAAATGAGAAAAAGAAAGTAAAACAAAGATTAGTTAAATTAAAAACAAAAGAATGGAATACACCCAAAGTTATTAAAAGAGCTTAGTGGTGTACTAGGAAAACCATTAACAGATTTATTTTACCAATCAATGTTAACAGGAGCAGTCCCAGAAGACTGGAAGTTAGCGAATGTTGTGCCTATTCACAAGACAGGTAGTAGGGAGGAGTTGGGCAACAATAGGCCAGTAAGCCTTACTTCAGTAGTGGGGAAAGTAATGGAAACCATGTTAAATGATAGGATTGTTGAACATCTAAAATCACATGGATTTCAAGATCAGAGACAACATGGGTTTACTTCAGGGAGCTCATGCCAAACTAATCTTATTGATTTTTTTGATTGGGTAACTAATAGATCAGGGTGGTGCAGTAGACATTGCTTACCTAGATTTCAGTAAGGTTTTTGACACTGTTGCACATAGAAGGCTGTAACGAACCCTGAAGTGGTAAGCAAGTGTTTCGTATGATTTGAGCCGGTTCTTTATTCATCAGTTAAATCCCAAAGACACGAAATTCTCTAGTACAGTTCTCCCCAAGTATCAATCAGGCACCCAAACACCAGCTGAAACATGATGAAGGGTGTAACAAGACTGGTGTTTGAGACCACACAGGCTTTTATGGAGGTCCCCCTGCAAGATAACCTCCCACAGTACACAAGCAAAATAACCAATCACATTGTACAGTTACAATAAAACACTCCCTCTCTCTGCCTGGGAGATAATGAGATAAGCTAAAGGATAACCCAATTATCTCCAGGCAAAGGGAACACATTTTCCCCAAAACTCAGAACACCCCTTTAACTTTAAGTTATCCCCAAAAATGACATATCCCCTGATAGCTCCGATTTGAGAGACCAAAATAATTAAATTTCACCCAGATCTGTTCAAGGGTTTTTAAAAAGTGTGGAAGTCTTAGTTCACCATTTCAAAATGTAAAAAAAAAAGGAAATAATTCATGATGGAACCTCCTGGCTCATAGGAGCGATTGTTCCCCTTGTTCTTGGGAACCAAACGGCGCTCTCCTAGCTGTTCGGCAACAAAAGGAAGCAGGCATTCGTATATTTTCAGCGGTCTGATTTTAGTTCCAGACACTCGACGACCAAGTCCCGCTGCCTCCTTTTATGCAAACAAGATGGCGGCCATTTTCTCTGCCATGTGGCGTTCAGCTTTATTTATTAAGCTATTGAGCCAGGAGTGTGGTCAGTGTTCGGTAGTTTTAATCTACCGAACCAATAATGTATAAAATAGATGAATGAAGTAAAAATAAACGAATAGCTACAGAAAACCTCAAAATCCCTGCTGGTTTTCTCACAAAGGCTTATCAATAAACTGTGCTATGGTCGTTGCTGCCGCCTAGCAGTAATGGGAGTTTCAGCACAGGACTTGTTTTTTTTTGTATTCACTTTTGTATCACACAGCTATGTTACAATGCTGCTGCCCATCCCATGTGTTCCCTATTAAGGGTTAATAAGCATGTAGGGATGTATATAAAAAAATACCCCTTTCTGTCTGGAGATATCTTTGCGAGAGGCTCAAGGAAGCAAGGTGAATGGTTAGAGTTAGGACCCACCTAAGAGGTCTGCCTTGACGTGGCAGGTGGGCAGACCCTCTCATGGCCATTGGAGGTAACTAAAAACCTCTATTTGTTTAAATATAAGGATTTGGGAAAGAGCGCAGGTAACTTTTTTCTTTGTTTTTTACTATATGTATTTGGGCTGATTTGCACTATGGCCATTGCTGCCGCCCAGGAGTAAGGGGGGTTTGAGCTCAGGACTTGTTTTTTTTTATTTGTTATCAATAAACTGCAATCTTTAAGTTTGGATTCCAATATTGTTGAATGGGTAAGGCAGTGGCTGAGTGGCAGGCAACAGAGGGTTGTAGTCAATGGAGTATATATTTAAAGCATGGTCTTGTCACCAATGGGGTACCTCAGGGATCTGTACTTGGACCCATTCTCTTTAATATTTGTATTAGTGATATTGCAGAAGGTATTGATGGTAAGGTAAACTACAAGAATGATCAGAGGTGTGGCAACTGACATTTAATGTGGATAAGTGCAAGATAATGCATCTTGGATGTAAAAACCCAAGGGCAGAGTACAGAATATTTGATAGAGTCCTAACCTCAACATCTGAGGAAAGGGATTATGGGGTGATTATTTCTGATGACTTAAAGGTAGGCAGACAATGTAATAGAGCAGCAGGAAATGCTAGCACAATGCTTGGTTGTATAGGGAGAGGTATTCGCAGTAGAAAGAGGGAAGTGCTCATGCCTTTGTACAGAACACTGGTGAGACCTCACTTGGAGTATTGTACACAGTACTGGAGACCATATCTTCAGAAGGATATTGATACTTTAGAGAGAGTTCAGAGAAGGGCTACTAAACTGGTTCATGGATTGCACGATAAAACATTTAAATACATAAAGGGAATCAACACAGTAAAGAAGGAGGCTATATTTAAAAGAAGAAAAACTACCACAACAAGAGGACATAGTTTTAAATTAGAGGGGCAAATGTTTAAAAATAATATCAGGAAGTATTACTTTACTGAGAAGGTAGTGGATACATGGAATAGCCATCCAGTTGAAGTGGTAGAGGTTAACACAGTAAAGGAGTTTAAGCATGCGTGGGATAGGCAAAAGGCTATCCTAGCTATAAGATAAGGCCAGGGACTAATGGAAGTATTGAGAAAATTGGGCAGACTAGATGGGCCAAATGGTTCTTGACTGCCGTCACATTCTATATTTCTATGTAATAACAACAATAATATACCCTTCTGTAAAACACTTTACCCCTCCCAAAGTTTTTTTTTAATGCATTTTCTTCAATTTTTCCTACTTTTCCCATGAAGAATCTGACATTTGGTACTGGGATAGATAAATAGGTGAGGGATGGGGAAAGGAATTGTGTATAGAAAGTACATGTAAATCTGTTTGGGTTATACAGTAAAACAAAATCAGAAATGTAGCAAATGACAAAACTGAGGCAGATTTTATGTCACCTCAATTCTGTGTTAAGTAATAAACAGAATTCCTTCACTTAGGATACCAAATTAGGACGTCTTTAGTAGACAGCCAGAACTGTCGCAACCGTAAAGATATACAAAGATTATATCTGCTTGTTTTAATAATTTCTTGTGATGGTACAAACTGTAACACATTATTGGTTGCCTTTGGCTCTTGTCACTCTGTATGACTTGGGGCACTTTCCTTCCTTCTATGTGGTTGGGTAATGTAGCATAAAATACATAGTCTTCAGGGTGTTTCAGTATATGGTCTCTACAGACCAAACTAACTGTTGTATAGGTTGATTTCATAGGAATTGTATGTTCATCATACCTTACCTCAAGATTTCAATTGTATTGCTTGTCAATGCTGACACATTGCCTGTTGTATAATACATGTAATTTACCGTGAGATGGCAAATGCAGGCGGGGCATGTCTAGAACAAATGTATCGAAGAATATTTGGCAGTGTTACAGCTCCCTTGCTTAACACTTCATCAAGGTCTAACCATAATCTTTGAAATACTAGAACAAATTAATGCATATGTGGAGAACCCTCAGGGACTACAAAAAGATGTTTTGGTACAGAAAAACATTTTTGTTTATTTTTGTTTTGTTGTTTATATTTAGTTTTACTACTTTATACTTTAAATCAGTTGGCACGGTAGATTTTTATTTCAACAAGATAAACCTCAGTCGGAATGCACAAAATGAAGGTAAGGTTAATAAATCATACATGTTTTCTTATGGTTTTGTTTTTGCTTGTTGTCAACTGGTTTTATTTTGCGTTGGTCTTGGTTGCCGAGTAAGGTGGTCTTAGGGTAGTTGAAATAATAGGTTGAACAGTTTTCTTTCTGTGGAAAATCAAAAGTTTTATTTGTAAAAAAATTTTGTTGATGCAGTTCACTTACATTGTTTGTAATTTGTATGTAAAGCTAATGTTTATTCAAATTGTCGAGTTATTTTTTCTCCTTATCTATGCTATCCAGTGTGTGTGTGTGTGTGTGTGCGTGTGTGTTAGGATATTATTGGTGCTCACTTGCTATGCTGAATTAATCCTAAACAGTATGTGAGAGAAGGGCAGACGGAGGCTGGTGCATATACTAACTGGAACGTTAAAAGGCAAGGAAAGATGTTTATAGACTAAAGGTTCCGATGTTGTTGTTGCACCATGATCTTGTCAGTGTTTAGAAGTGGGCATTGAAGTTTGTTGTGCAATGTTTCAGTTTGATATTCTGCACATTCTGGGGTATTAGATTGCGCTCACTCAGAGTGTGGACTATTACCATTTATGCGCCCTAAGTCCAATAATGCTTCTCTATGAGGACCACATAATAACATAACTAAAGATGGATCAGGCTCCAGGGAGAACCTGGTCAACCTAGGTTGAAAGTGAGTGTTAACTTTTTTTAAGAAAAGGGGAGAGGGCAAAACAGCAAGTGATAAAACACTCACAAAACACTATTTCGTGTATAGATTTTTTTTTTGTTTGAGTTGAGATTTACCAACAAGTCATCAATATCTAAAATGGCTGATGCTAACATAATCAAGTAAAGGGTATTTTTGCACTCTAGAAAATCCTATCAAATGTAATTGCTAGCCAACAAGAGATTTAATGGCAGTCCTGGAAAATAAGAGGACATGTCACCTGATTTTATCGATAAAATCAGTTGAGGCTATCACTGAAATTAAAACCTTTCTCAGCTAGGCGTAAACAGAAAATTGATGTTATACATATAGTGATATATAATACGCACAAAAAGGGTATATCCTTACATTATCTTGAAAGTAAGACAGGCAGTATTTCTTTCATGCAGTCAGCGGATGATGAGATAACGTCATTCTGGCACCAATATCGGCATTTTAAAAAGCGGCACTGTACTGTATAGTGTTACTGCGTCTGAGGAAAACACAGATTGTGTTGAAACGTGTTGGGCTGATTCAAAGGATCTTGCTAATTTTTATTTAATACTCTATGTGTTTGTTGTTAATAAATGTTGTATTATTAACTTACTCTTGGTGCTTCCCTATTGATATTTTGAGGAACATCCATCATCAACAATTCAGATTGGAACATATTGTGCAATATAACCAAGCTTTCATACCTGAGCCAGTTCATAGAGGCTCTTGTAAATGTGAGTGGGATACTTTTACATTATATTTATTTATTTATTTCAAATAAATGATACATGCTGTATTGCCCTATGAGAGGTTTATGCTCTTTCTTGCAGTGATTGTTGAAGATCATGTAAGGATATCCCCTATTTATGTGTATTGTTATATGTCATTGTTTGTATATGGTAACCATATCACTGTTGTGTCACACTGCACCATTCACCTTTTTCTGTATATTTACATTGGGAGTGTGAAATTGTTTTGATCGACTGTGATTTTAAACTGCACTGATAGTGACACTATATGCACTATTAATTAGTGCTAGTGGGTATTACACATTTTTATAAAATTGATGTTACTTATTGCAAACTCTTAATGCATCCTACAGGAAAAAAAATCAAGTCACGTGTATGTCATTAAATGTAAAGACTAAATCAAATCTCAATACGTATTAGCCATCAATAAAAAGAAAATAAAAGGCCTGACACATAAGTTCCAAACAAAATAAATAAATACATTAGAAAAAAAATTATATAAATAAAGTGCATGTGCCATGTAAATGAAATTCATTTTTAGAATTTTATTATACTTTGTATCTAGATTCTAAACTTTAAATCAGTTAGCCATGTGTGTTAATCTTCATTTTTGACTTGCCATAACTATCCATAACTATCGCGCATTAACCCTATCCAAGATGGCACTGGTAAAACATGCTGTGTTAAACTGCGAAAATCATTGAATGCACAAGGACCAGGAACATATGTAAGTATATATAAGTGGAGCACAGACAGAATAAATCATAACAATATGCCCCTGTACACACCAGTAAGTGAAAATACCACAGTTTAAATAGTATACTTAGGTGGCTCTCGATGTATCCAATATTTTCATATTAAACAAAAGCACAAGTACCGAATAATCATGCAGTATATCTTAAAAATTGCTTTCAATTGCTTAGTACAAAGCTTAGCTGTGTATAGTTGATATATAACAATAAATGTATTGCACAAATAGAACACATAGAAATCACACATAGGAAAATAGATGTACAGCTGCTTACAAGATAGCAAAAGGTGAGTATATGTGGGCGGAATGCTCCGCTACTCTCTAGCGCTTGTGTGTATAAAATCCTTAGACGTAATACTGGAGATAGATAAATCCTATTCCTCGCGATATTGTCTCCTCGCTGTATACACCTGTCAGGGTTTCTTTGCTGTTTTAAACAGCCACCCTTCCTTTTTCAGTGTCTGAGGTTTCAGCTGTAATTAACGATCAGCTCCTTCAGCATGTTGCCACGGTTACTCACCTGAGAATAGTAATCAACCCTGCTGCTAATCAATTCAGCCTATTTAAGCAGCAAATCCCAGAACCTCCTTGCCCTTGCGTGGTTTCCTGTCCCCCAGAAGTCTCCTTGTTCCTGTGTTTCCTGTTTGCTCCTGGTTCCTGACTCTGGCCTTGTTCCTGACTCCGCTGCCCTCCGTGCTCCTGATCCTGGCTCGTCTGACTACCCGCTCTGGTGACTGACCCGCTCTGGTGACTGACCCCTGCTTGCCTCCTGGACTTTGCTTTTGGTGATTTCTTTGTTATTTATTAAATAAAGGTGTTTTTGCATCTAGATCTGTCTCTGTCTGGTTCCTGGTTCCTGACATTACGCAAGGGCCATGAATACAGATGGTACAGGCAATACACCTATACCTAACCTATTTACCCGGTGGGACCAGCAGAACCACCATTTGGACCAGTATGCCAATCTGAATCCAAAACCCGGCCAGCCTGCGATTGCGGCCGCCTCTGCCTCACTTCCTGTTCTAGCACCGGTTGTAGCCTCCGAACCTGTTGCGGCTAGAGGAATGACTGGGTCTGTCCCGCTCCCTCAGTATTTTGGGGGCAACCCAGCTCAGTGCAAAGAATTTATAAATCAGGTTAAAGGATACCTTGAAATGCTGCCCCAGGCATTTCCTACAGACAGCGACAAAGTCCAGTTCATGATTTCTTTGCTGTCTGAAAAAGCCCTAGCTTGGGCAAAACCTCTCTGGGAGGCAGAGAGGCCCATCATTTACAATTACCCTGAATTTGTTGCGTCCTTTAAAAGGGTTTTTGATATTCCAGCTCGCTCCACCCCTACTGCCAAACAACTCATGTCTAATACTCAGGGCACGAAAACTATTGTTGAGTATGCCAGTGAATTCCGTACCATGGCAGCAGAGGGTGGCTGGAATAACGAGATTCTTGTGGCTGCCTTTGCACAGGGGCTATCCGATGTAATGAAAAATGAGATTGCAGGCAGAGAATTACCTAAAGATCTCGAGGAACTGATATCATTTGTCACCCTCATTGACATCAGACTCCGAGAGAGATCCTCATCCAGGGAGCGCCTGTGGAGGCCTCCAGTATGTTTGGCACCGAGCTTTTCCTGCCCACCCAAACCTCCCTCACCTCCCATGCCTCCTGGTCCTGAGTCCTCTGTCGGTGTGGAGCCGAGGCGGTTAGGCTTCTCACGCCTCTCTGTCGAGGAGAGAGCCTTTAGGAGGAGGGAGGGCCTGTGCCTATACTGCGGACACCACGGTCACATATTAAAGTTTTGCCCGATTCGTCCGGTAAAGGGCCCGTACCCAAGATACTGTCAGGGACAGATCTTGGGGGGTCTTTCTGCAGACCCAGAGATAAATAAGGACAAACCCTTGGTGCCTATTATCCTCTCCTGGCCGGAGTCATCCATTAAAACCCGGGCATTTCTTGATTCTGGGGCCGCAGGCTTGTTTATAGATTGTGCATTTGCATCAGAGCACTCTATACCCTTACAGCCTCGCAACTCCCCACTAGCTTTCGAAGCCATCGATGGCCGACCTATACAGCCAACCCTCGTGACCCAGGAAACCGTGCCCATATCTCTGGCTGTAGGGGCTCTACATCATGAGATGATCCAATTCCAGGTCATTTCCTCTCCATACTACCAGGTTGTTTTGGGATACCCTTGGCTACAGAAGCATAACCCCACAATTGATTGGCGCAAATCTGAGATATTATCTTGGTCCCAGCAATGCACATTTTCCTGTCTCCGGAAACGGTCAAAGTTTTGGGCACAGTTTCTGCCTCTTCCTTACCCGCTGAGTACCAAGAATTCCAAGATGTATTTGACAAAGGTCAAGCTAGCGTTCTGCCACCACACCGTCCGTATGACTGTGGTATCGAACTCCAACCTGGTGCCAATCCTCCCCGTGGACGGGTTTACCCGCTGTCTGTAGCAGAGAATCGAGCCATGGAGGAGTATGTTACTGATGCGTTGTCAAAGGGATTCATTCGGAAGTCATCTTCTCCTGCCGGGGCCGGCTTTTTCTTTGTGAAAAAGAAGAGTGGTGAGTTGAGACCCTGTATCGACTATAGGGGTCTCAATCGCATTACTATTAAGAATGCCTACCCCATTCCATTGATCACTGAGTTATTTGACCGCCTCAAGGGAGCAACGGTCTTCACTAAACTTGATCTGAGAGGGGCATATAATCTCGTCCGGATAAAAGAGGGCCACGAATGGAAAACCGCATTTAACACCAGGAGCGGGCATTACGAATACCTAGTAATGCCCTTTGGTCTTTGCAACGCTCCGGCGGTTTTCCAGGAATTTATAAATGACGTCCTGCGAGATATGCTGCAGAAATGTGTGGTGGTTTATCTTGATGATATTCTTATCCATTCCACATCTCTCGAGAACCACCACGCAGACATTTCTAGTGTTCTACATAGACTTAGAGAAAATAATCTGTTCTGTAAATTGGAGAAATGTGAGTTCAATTGCAAACAGGTCACATTCTTGGGCTATGTTATCTCTGATGCTGGATTCTCTATGGACCCAGAAAAACTTTCTGCTGTACTAAAATGGCCTCGACCTACGGGTCTTCGCTCTATACAGCGTTTTCTTGGCTTCGCCAATTATTATCGGAAGTTCATACGCAACTTTTCCTCCTTGGTTAAACCACTCACGGATATGACCAGGAGAGATGCTGATCCACAGCATTGGTCACAGGAAGCCATTTCTGCCTTTGAGTCTCTCAAAGTCGCCTTTGCTGCTGCTCCTATACTGGCACACCCTAACCCTGCCTTACCATTCATTCTTGAAGTCGATGCGTCTGAGACAGGAGTAGGCGCCCTCCTGTCTCAACGTCCTAACCCAGAGAGCTCCAGGCATCCGTGCGGGTATTTCTCGAAGAAATTAAACCCGGCGGAATGCAATTACCAGATTGGTGATAGAGAACTTCTAGCCATAATATTAGCTCTCAAAGAATGGAGGCACCTTCTTGAGGGTACTTCAGTGCCAATTCTCATCCTCACAGACCACAAGAATCTGACATATCTTTCCGAAGCTAAGCGACTTTCCCCCAGGCAAGCTAGATGGGCTCTCTTCCTATCAAGATTCAATTATGTGGTTTCTTACTTGCCCGGTACTAAAAACATTCAGGCTGATGCCTTGTCTCGACAGTTCTCCCCTCCATCTAGAGAGGAGATAACCCCTACTCCTGTGATTCCTCCGGACCATATACTGGCCACCATCCGTACTAGCCTCACCTCACACCTAGGTGAGGAGATTCTGGCTGCACAAAGTAATGCTCCTCCAGAGAAACCTAATGGCCGTTGTTTTGTACCTATTCATCTCCGTACTAAATTATTAAGTACTTATCACAACCCCAAAGCAGCTGGACATCCAGGCAAAAACCAATTAATCTGGTCCGTCTCTCGGCAATTTTGGTGGCCTAGTCTCCGTTCGGATGTCACTGCTTTTGTAGCTGCCTGTCCTGTATGCGCTCAAAATAAAACCCCACGACACCCTCCAGTGGGTCTCCTGCAAACCATACCTAATGGTGAACGACCCTGGACCCACTTGTCCATGGATTTTATCATAGATCTTCCGGTCTCCCGTGGCAATACAGTCGTTCTCATGGTTGTTGATCGATTCTCAAAGATGTCGCATTGCATTCCCTTGAAAAAACTACCAACTTCTCAGGAACTTGCAACAATTTTTGCTCGGGAGATCTTTCGTTTGCATGGGTTACCCAAAGTGATAATCTCAGATAGGGGTAGCCAGTTTGTGTCCAGATTTTGGAGAGCTTTTTGTACACAAATGGGAATTCAGCTTTCCTTCTCCTCTGCCTACCACCCGCAATCCAATGGTGCCGAGGAACGAGCTAACCAAACACTGGAACAGTTTCTGCGTTGCTACATTTCTGACCACCAGAACAACTGGTCTGATCTGCTACCCTGGGCGGAGTTTGCCCACAATAGTGCGATTAATGCCTCTTCCCGGCTATCCCCGTTCTTGGCGAACTATGGCTTTCAACCGTCCATATTGCCTGATACGTTCATGCCACAAGGGATACCGGCATTGGAGGAACATCTCAGGGAACTCCGTTCCACTTGGGTGCAGGTTCAGAACTCGTTGCAACGCGCAATGCAGAACTACAAACTCCAGGCCGACTGCAGACGACTTCCTGCACCTACCTATCAAGTCGGAGAGAGGGTCTGGCTGTCTTCTCGCAACCTACGGCTCCGTGTTCCCTCACAATAACTGGCACCCCGATACGTTGGGCCATTTCGTATACTTCGAAGGGTTAACCCTGTAGCTTACGCACTTGACCTTCCTGCTAACATGCGCATCTCTAATGTATTCCATGTTTCCCTCTTGAAACCATTGGTATGTAATCGTTACACCACCTCAGTACCACATCCACGTCCTGTTCCGGTTGACAATCATGAGGAATATGAAATACGCAGCATCATTGACTCACGAGTCTTCAGAGGACAGATCCAATACTTGGTGCACTGGAAAGGGTACGGTCCAGAGGAACGCTCCTGGGTTCCAGCCTCTGATGTCCATGCACCATCCCTCCTTCGTTCCTATCACGCTCGCTTCCCCATGAAGCCCGGACCCACCAGCAGAAATGGGGGGAGTCGTTGAGGGGGAGGTACTGTCAGGATTTTTTTGCTGTTTTAAACAGCCACCCTTCCTTTTTCAGTGTCTTAGGTTTCAGCTGTAATTAACGATCAGCTCCTTCAGCATGTTGCCACGGTTACTCACCTGAGAATAGTAATCAACCCTGCTGCTAATCAGTTCAGCCTATTTAAGCAGCAAATCCCAGAACCTCCTTGCCCTTGCGTGGTTTCCTGTCCCCCAGAAGTCTCCTTGTTCCTGTGTTTCCTGTTTGCTCCTGGTTCCTGACTCTGGCCTTGTTCCTGACTCCGCTGCCCTCCGTGCTCCTGATCCTGGCTCGTCTGACTACCCGCTCTGGTGACTGACCCCTGCTTGCCTCCTGGACTTTGCTTTTGGTGATTTCTTTGTTATTTATTAAATAAAGGTGTTTTTGCATCTAGATCTGTCTCTGTCTGGTTCCTGGTTCCTGACAACACCAATGCCTACAGCAGTTCGTAAAGCGGTTCCAAGTTAAAGTTTGCGGGATTAATAGTGCCGCCCACTGATGATGTCAGTGCGTGTTACGTCAATGCGTTTCGCCTGTCTGCTTTGTCAGGACGTTAGGTATGTACTGGCTATCTCCCTAATGGGAAAATTTAAGGGCAATCAAGTCCGCCCTCAACAGTCTCTATTGGTTAAAAGTTGAAAGTCCTCACTTGCATATAGACCGACCGACACTCATTTCAGTGATAAACTATACAATTAAACCATTCACATATTACAATGCATATATAAAATAAACAAATCTCTATTAATAATCATATGCCTCATAAAATAAAAGATCATATAAATCATATAAAAAGCAATACTCTGCCTAAGTATCTATCTCAAACCTCACCTGTTCTTGCTCTGCAACCTCCTTCTACAATTCCACTCTCCTCTCAACTAGACATCATGGCACCTCCTATATTTAAATGCAGCAAGCGCCCCCAACAACAACCTTGGCACACCAAGCTGACTCGATATCTCTAAAAAGGCTGCTGAACGCTGTTGGAGAAAGTTTCACTATGTGTCTGACTTTCTTCACTATAAATTTATGCTGTGGTCATACAACTTGGCTCTTTGGTCAGGGCATGGATAATAGATAGAAGGTGGTTGATATGGGGACATATATTGGTAGGGCTCATGTGGGGATGTTTTTAACACATGTTTGTGTTCCTGAACCTATAGTGTTCCTTTAATAATTTATCTCTTATAGCTTTATGTTGGGTCCCTAAGAACTGGAGCAGGACATGTCCACTAATGCTTCCAAAGACTCAAGTCCTTTAATCCATTTGGGATAGACATCACACTCTGCTTATCTCTCAGAACCAGATTTCCAAAGCTGCTTCTCTAGGGTTATTGTCTTTACTAATTCCTAATCTGCACCTTTCTTTATGGAAAAATGTAGGAATTATGCATATTCAAACTTTCTTTAAGGAAAATTCCAAAGAGTTGCTCACATTTTTAGAATTAAAGGAATAGTTCTCTATACCCAACTCAGCATATTATGGTCATTGTCAGATTACTTACTGGCTATGCTCCTTTTTTTTCAAATAGGGTGCAGGGTTTTTCTTAAATTACTTTGATCAGGTTCAAGCAGTTGTGCCTGGGTGGATATCTGCTGTGACACCAAATGTCCATCTGTCACAAATTGCTCTACAAGTTTTCTCCAGAGGAGACCTGTTCCTTTGCATCAATGTGGTCAAAGGTTTTGGAAGTCATGATTACAGGGAACATGTGGAAATATTTTTTTTTTCTTGTTACATGGGTGTTTCTCGTGTATCCCACATGGAACAACACAGGAACATTGTATATATTTGTTATAAGTTCCTGACTATGCTGGCCCACTTGGACCCTAATTTGCCTGACAGGTGTTGGAGATGCTCCTGGGCTTGTGGTACCATGCACCATATCTGGTGGTCATGTGATTTGAGTACTCCCTATATTTATACTGACCGTGACAGGGACTATTCCTTTTCACCCCATTATGCATGCTTCTCCTTCTGTTCCCACAATTGTTATCCAAAGCTACTTGGCTTGTAGCATTCCATATCCTTATATCAGGAATGATCACTATTGCCAAGATGTGGAGATCTGATAAAACTCCAACTTTAGACACATTATGTAAATGAGTATCCAAAATCCAGCTTATGAAGTTGGTTTGTGTACCTTAGCCAAATATTAACCCAGAGTGTTGATGTGGTGGGAGTCATGGCATAGCTACTGGAATCAGACCAGTCCTGAGCCTTTACTTCACTTACATGAGATTAATAATAAATGACTGAATGTGTAATATGTGACTCAAGTTAAATCATTTTTTCTGTGTTAAACCACACTTTCCTCTTTATTATGGAATGCCGCTGCACAATGTGGTTTATCCTCATAGTGCAGTTTTACCAATTTTGCTCTGATCAATGTTGATATCTACCTGGGTGGGCTCAAGGTATTTTCGGTTAGCAATGACTTAGGCTATAACGTTACCCTGTTGCCAAACTGTCTCCATGTACCATGTGACCTGTCATGCTATGTTATGTAAGACTTAAAAACTCTTAAAAACCTGTCTGGCTCATGAATTTATTGTATGTCATTATATATTTTGTATTCCTTTTATATCTTTATATTCTTGTTATTATTAATTTTGGACAGTGATTGTCTACTTCATGTCATATCTGTGTTTGAAAAAACCTTTAATTAAAGGGACACTATAGTAACCAGAACAACTACAGTTTATTGCATTTGTTCTGGTGACTAGAAACATTACCTTCAGGCTTTTTGCTGTAAACACTGTCTTTTCAGAGAAAATGCAGTGTTTACATTACAGCCTAGTGATAACTTCACTGGCCACTCCTCAGATAGCTGTTAGAGATCCTTAGAGATCCTTCTTGGGTCATGGCTGCCTAAAATGCATCCAAACATTCAGTATCTCCTCCCTCTGCATGCAGACATTAAACTTTCCTCTCTATGAGGAGATGCTGATTGACCAGGGCTGTGTTTGAATCATGCTGGCTCTGCCCCTGATCTGCCTCCTTGTCAGTCTCAGCCAATACTATGGAGAAGCACTGTGATTGGATGAGTCCACCACTTCTGATGATGTCAGCAGACAGCTTGTTTTTCTGAGGCAGACGACATGCTGAGCTATAGCTTCAGGCTTGAATACAAGTAAGATTTTTCTATATATCTATGGAGGCCCTGGTTGGCTAGATGGTGGTTTTAACACTGTAGGTGTCACATCCTGCTGTGTTCTGCGGAGATGTCTGGCTTTGGTTTCTGGTATCCAGTACTCTTTTTACAATTCTTGTTTAGTTTTTCTTGTTTTTTTGGTTTTCTATTCTATGTCTGGTTTTCTTTATGCTGAGTTTTTCTGGGTTCATTCCTGTAACCCGTCCCTGGAATTCCCAGTGTCCTTTAAATGTTTGTTTTATGTTGCCACACCCGTTTGTTTTCCATCATTCCTTTTGTTTCAGTGTCGGGCAGGCAGCTGCTTAAGCCTTCTGCCCTTTCTTGCAGGTAAGTGCTATTGTGGTTTAGTATGGTTCTTTTAGCGAACATTAGGCAGTGTAGGACCTGCCAGATATGGGGAACATTGGCGTTGTTGGCAGGCATATGCAATGTATGATCGTATAATGTAACTAAATCCGCCATGATTTTCATATATAGTGCTTAGTTATGTCTCCTCTTGTTTTGCCTATCATATCATGTCTTGTTTTAGTTTGTATTCCCAGTCCATGTACAGTCCTGCCCTGCCCCTGTTTAGTTAATGTTCCCTTATGTATTGTGTACATGTTCTGGGTTTAGCTTCCTATCCTGCTCTGGTTCTGGGTTCTATTAGTTCTGTCTTGTTTTCATGTTTGGTGACTATCCTAGCCTTGCCTTGTTTCTGTACTGGATACATGTCAGCTGCAAAGCCCCCCTATCCAGTTCCTGGGAGGTCTGCATATCAAGCTCCTAGTTCCTGGGATCCGCTGTAGCTGCATCAGGGTTCTGGTATGTGGCCGCGCAAACACTGGTGCTCAACACCAGAGGGCATGTGGTTACCCAGCACCAGGCCCTGATAATCCACTTCCACACTGGAGACTCCCATCAACATCAGGCACTCAGGGGTCCCGGTGTCTGTACCGCCACCCGTGACAGTAGGGTCAGGAATACATGTTTGTGTTCCTGACCTTACAGTGTTCCTTTAAGTGCAAATAAAAACAAAAAACACACAGGCTTCTCAATGAGAACCCTCTAATTGGTCAAGAAGGGGAAGGATTGTAATAGCTGCAGATGCTGCATCTGCAGCTATAGCAAGATCCTTTTTCATGTACTCCCAAAGAAAACTTGCAAAAAAAATTTAAATAAATAATACATGCATGTGTACTTTAGGGTGTATTTACTATTTGATGGGAAAAAAATATGAATAAAATATATATATATATTTACTTTATTACAATGGAGTATTCCTTTAAACTATACTACTATTTTAATTTTGAAGATTAAATATATTAAAAATGACACTAACGTGTATACAAAGCAAAAGGACAGATTCAACTAAAAAGTGGAAAGTCCAGCTTGGTAGATATAAAATAACTATCGTCGTAAAGTTTTATTTGTAACACAAAAGATAAAATAATGTATTTACAATGTAACTGATGTAAACCTCACCCAAAGTGTAATGCCTTTCTGTTAACTAGACAACTCATGAGACTAAATTAATTTCAATAAGACCTCCTCAAATATCCTCACAGAGCTTTATTATATCATCACCCACAGGGTTATGTGAGGGGAGTCTTAAATAACAAATGAACTCTTTATTGAACTGGTTGGTATGTTTTAAATTGTGGAAGGCCTGGTATCCTACTCTAGATATATAGACGACCTACTATTTGTTTGGAAGGGGTCTATTAGCTCAGCTAAGGATTTTATTTCTTTTTTAAATAATAATGAAGAAGGTCTAGTTTTAACAGCAGATTTTAGCAACACAATGGTTACCTATCTTGATCTAAATATTTATATTAAGGATAACAAAATACAAACGAAAGCGCACTTTAAAGATGTAAACGTAAATAACTATAGGTGGTACTGATACTGATAGCTGCCACAATAAAACATGGCTAGACAGCATACCAAAAAGTCAAATAATGCGTCTTAAAAGAAATTGTTCAGACACTTTCATGTTTACCAAACAAGCTAACACGCTAAAAGAGAGCTTCATACAAAAAGGATACAATATAGCTAATATTGAGTCAACAATTAATCAAACAGCCAGATTAACTCATACATAAAGCTAAAACCCAAGCGAAACAAACTCTGATTTTACTCTGCCAATTGTATTAGATTATAACAAAAAAAAAAAACAATTGCAGAATATTATAAAATAAAACATTGGCACTTACTGAAGGAAGATGATATCCTAAAAAAAAAAATTCCTGATAAACCAGAAATAATATTTAGAGGTGCGCCAAATCTTAACATGCACTTAACAAAAAATTATACAAAGACGAGCCCTAACAAAATTAATAATTTTATGAATAAAAAAGGCTTCTATAAATGCAATTGTTGCATGGTATGCACAAAAACAAAAACAACAAAAAGAAATATTACAAAATTCAGATCTAATAATACTGGTAAAATATACAACATTAAAGAGGTCATCACATGTAATAGTAAAAATTGAATATACCTACTGGAATGCCCGTGTGGCCTCCAATATGTGGGTAGAACTATTAGGCCATTAAAAACAAGAATAGCAGAAAACTGCAGAAATATAGAAAAAGGTCCAAAAAAACAGTCAGTACCAGCCCATTTTTGCATGCACAGCAATGACCCTAAGCACCTCTCATTTATTGGGATTGCAATTGTAAAAAAACACTGGAGAGGAGGAGATGTTGTTAAAAAGATTGGACAAACAGAAATGCAGTGGGTATACCAGCTAGATACTCTACATCCGAATTGGCTGAATGTCGATTTTCATTTATATAATTTTTTATAACTTTTTATAATTTTTATTTATAAAAAAAATAAAAACATTTATAACATACCTTTTATTGTTTACTTTACCTGCTATTTGCAGCATTCTGACCAATCTTTTTACAACAACCCTATTCTTGTGTAAATATATGTTTTTATTCATGAGATTATATGTATATTACGTCAATGTTTTTGTACTGAATTATCTAAATGTATCTCCGGATAAAGTTCTCTTAAAATACACTTTGACTATATGCACATTTGGAGATAGCTTACTCTCAGTGCACATTATTATGTTTGTCGTAGTCATAATATTATTTTGTATATAACTACCACTCTTTATTTGTGAGTGCCAGTCTCATTTGATTCTTCTGTATTTTTTTGTCTTTTCTTATTTGTGTATATTTTTATATAAACCAGAAATAGTTATCTATTTATAAATAATACTACCAACCACATTACAGACATTAATATTTAATGATCTTATTTATCTTATTTCTCCCTGTGCCCATAATAAATATGGCCGCCATGCCGTCTTTTTTTAAGTAAGTACATGCCTACTCTCAGTGGTCTGACCACCTGATATAAGTGCCTGGAACGCAACGCACGCTATTTCTGAGCAATGCGTGTGTTCCATAGTAGCGCAATAATAATACACTAAGCAATCCACGATGCTAAGTCATTTCCGGTATGACGTGTATATCGCCTCACTTCCGGTATTACGCGTGCTTTCCAACGAGAATCAGGAAACCGGAAGAAACACACCAGGAAGTAATTCAAGAATTTAGAAGCATATATAAACAGGACCCAGGGGAGGTTACACCACACTTTATATTTTTTATATTTTTTATGTTTTATACCATGTTTTGTTTATATTAAAGTATACTTTTAATAGATACTTTTTATATTCATTCTTTTTGTTACTTCCTGGATCCTGCATATCCTTGGTGGGGATTATACCACCCAGGCTGTTCATACTAGAGCAAGTTTTATGCTCAATAAAGTGTAAGTACACTACTATTTATTATTGATTTCATCATCAGTACTTACTTCACCATTGGCTGCTATTTCTCTTTACCACGCATACTGCACTTTGAAATACTCGAGTCAACTAGAACAACATATCCTGAGACGGGGATCGTACCGTCCAAGCGCATCACAGTTGAGCTCTGTTATAGCTCATATAAATGTGAGTGGATTGTGTATAGTTATATTCACCACTTCATGATATAATTTTACTGTATTGCACTATTATTTTTTTATTTTATTTCATTCCGAGGTTTTCGATTCATTGGAAATACCTGTAAATATATGTATGTACTTCTTATATTTATATAAATTATTAGCGCGGTTTACGCTCTCTTTTTCTTCCATGTTTTAAATAGTGCTGTGTCTAATGAAGGCAATCCTAAAATAGCATGCAACCTGGACATGTATAACTAAATTGTCTGGGAATTGACATAAGCTCACTGGTGCTGCTAAAATGAACTAGTAACGTATCCCTAAAATCCTGCTATAATAACTTAACAGGTAAAATAGCTAATTAAATAGTCTAGATACCACAGATGTAATACATGGTCAAGCTAGCCAAAGAGGCAATAGTTTCTATAGGTAAATGCTAGTTACACCAATATGCCAGGATCTACACCAACAGAGAAGAAAGTTAGGTTTATTTGTGGCAAAAGGGGATAGCTTGTTCATATATATATATATACACTTCACATCACATTAATCCCAAACAGGTTCCCACTAATATATATAGACTTACTGAGACAGGCACATAGCACCTCCAGCTAAATAATTACTGGATAATAGAGCAAGGAAAGACAGGGAATTACCCCAGCCATCTTAGAATAAATTAAATAGCCTATTAAACCAGCCTAATCTGTCATCACAGCTACATAGAGATAGACACAGGATAAAGAAGAGTGGTGTGTGTTGATCACACCATTAAAAGTCCATGGAGCAAAAAACAAATTTGTCAAATTGCCAATATAAAAGAATATAAGAAACACCTGACGTGCATTTCGGAGCTCACAGCGCACCTCTCTCAGGGGGCAAATAAACGTTTTCCCCCTGACATATGTGCATTGTGAGCACGGAAACATGTTACTTATTGTTACTTTTGTTCTTTGGAAGTGTGAATTGATGGGTTGGTTAATGGATTTAGGGCTAAGTAGCAGAAAATAAATACATTTTAAAAAATTTAAACTTTTGTTAATAGGCGTCATGGCACATTACTGTTCATCAGCAAAAGCTTACCCCACTCTTGTGTGTGACTCAGAGACAATCTGGCAGTCTCTGATATAACGCCCCTAATTCAGTCTTTTAGTGATCGTGCTCCTAGCTTACCACTATCTAAAAGGAGGCATTAAAAACATACAACTATTTCTGATAAAAACAGGGTACACCCTAACTTAAAGGGATACTCCAGATACCAATGCAATACTTTAATGCATTTAAGAGAATTTTGGCATTAATAATATATCTATATTTTTTTAATCATTTGTTCGTTTCTGCTTCTTTTCCTTTGTTCTGTATTTTTGCAAAAACAAAATGTTAATGATACAACACATCCCACACCTTTCCTTTACCCTTACCTTTGCTCCTCCTACTTGCATTCTGCCTTTAACCAATCCTGTCTTTGCATCCAGCACAGCAGGAGGACAAACTACTCCAAGCCAGCTGTGATAAGGGAAGGAGGGAAGTTAACTCTTAATTAGTGATGTCCTGAACGGTTCACGGAACGGTTCGCCACGGACGGCGAACATATGCAGTAAACTTTGACCCTGTACCTCACAGTCAGCAGACACATTCCAGCCAATCAGCAGCAGACCCTCCCTCCCAGACCCTCCCACCTCCTGGACAGCATCCATTTTACATTCATTGTGAAGCTGCATTCTTAGTGAGCTGTCCAGGAGGTGGGAGGGTCTGAGAGGGAGGGTCTGCTGCTGATTGGCTGGAATGTGTCTGCTGACTGTGAGGTACAGGGTCAAAGTTTACCGCATATGTTCGCCGTCCGCGGCGAACTGTTCGGCGAACCGTTCGGGACATTACTACTCTTAATGTGTTCCGTCCCTATTGGTCATACACTTTTCCAATTGTGTAGTTTGTATATCCTGATGTGAAGTGAAAAATAAAGCCAGTTGCTCCTGCTTGCATTAAGAAGAAATTACTTGTCTCTTTTTTTGCTGTAACTATCCAAGGTCTGCTATAATGCAATTGCTGGTGGATAAAGCAATTCCAAGTCCAGGTCATAGCACTTAGTATACCGATCAGCTGTGCAAGTTAATGCAAGTACCCACAGACAATATTAGGCCTTCGGTAAAAGAGATGCCAGGGCCGTATTATCACAATAATATTTATGGTAAACAATTTATGGTAAAATACACATCTTTGTGATGTAATGACAATATATATATTTTTTTAATAGTTTGCTTTACACACAATTCTTGAATTTTTAAACTGATGCCTAACTTTTATTGCGCTAAACTTCTTTTTTCTTTCTATTTCGGCACATGTAAAATATCTGCTATCGTCCATGTTTATTAGAAACACACTAAATTTATTGCAGACGTACTCTAGGCATTGTCATCAGGGCACCTGTAGCATTTTGTTGTTTGTCTGCTTACCCTTGCAATGTCCATTACTGTTAAAATGCATTGTTACAGAAATGTTTCAACTAATGAATGACCCACCGGTGATTAATAGCCAGGGCCAACCATTTATATGACATGCATTACATTAAAGTATTATCAACATCATTATATAAGAAGGAAGTAAATGTCATAAGGTTATAATTATAAAATTATCTTAAAAATATACAAATTAAACACGCATGAACCCTTTGTTTACATAGACATAATTCAGAATATTGTTTTAGTTTTCTAATGATAGATATGTATACAATAAGACATTTCCAGCGCATTATACACTAAACACAGTTGACAATGTTTCAAATGAACTGTAAAACTTTACGCAAGACTAAAAGATGCCAAAATAATAATATAGAAAGCAAATAATGAAAACTAATGTGAAAATTCAAAAAAAAAAAAATCTAAATAAACTGAAAAAAGATCAAAGATGTTTCACTATTTTGTTTGTTCTAGAATACCAAAGACCACAGTTTGGAAAATCAAAAGAAACTATTTTTGATTACATTTTTAAGAAGAGAGAATTGCCTATGTGTCCTGAAATGCCTCCTAATTTAGGTAAGTGGCCATCAAAAATGTTATACATTAATACAATAAATGCATATTTATTGCTTTAGGTGCTTCAGTCTTCTAAATAAAACAAAGAAAAGTTGAAGTCAATACTCCATTTTATGATGGATTTGTCTTTGTCCATTCTACATGTAAAACAAAAGCACTGACACTGTTGCACATAGAAGGCTTATCAATAAACTGCAATCTTTAAGTTTGGATTCCAATATTATTGAATGGGTAAGGCATAGGCTGAGTGACAGGCAACAGAGGGTTGTAGTCAATGGAGTATATTTGAAGCATGGTCTTGTCACCAGTGGGGTACCTCAGGGATCTGCACTTGGTCCCATTCTCTTTAATATTTTTATTAATGATATTGCAGAAGGTCTTGATGGTAAGGTATGTCTTTTTGCTGATGATACTAAGATATGTAACAGGGTTGATGTTCCAGGAGGGATAAGCCAAATGGACAAATGATTTAGGTAAACTAGAAAAATGGTCAGAGTTGTGGCAACTGACATTTAATGTGGATAAGTGCAAGATAATGCATCTTGGACGTAAAAACCCAAGGGCAGAGTACAGAATATTTGATAGAGTCCTAACCTCAACATCTGAGGAAAGGGATTTAGGGGTGATTATTTCTGATGACTTAAAGGTAGGCAGACAATGTAATAGAGCAGCAGGAAATACTAGCAGAATGCTTGGTTGTATAGGAGAGGTATTAGCAGTAGAAAGAGGGAAGTGCTCATGCCATTGTACAGAACACTGGTGAGACCTCACTTGGAGTATTGTACACAGTACTGGAAACCGTATCTTCAGAAGGATATTGATACCTTAGAGAGGGTTCAGAGAAGGGCTACTAAACTGGTTCATGGATTGCGGGATAAAACTTACCAGGAAAGGTTAAAGGATCTTAACATGTATAGCTTGGAGGAAAGACGAGACAGGGGGGATATGATAGAAACATTTAAATATGTAAAGGGAATCAACACAGTAAAGGAGGAGACTATATTTAAAAGAAGAAAAACTACCACAACAAAAGGACATAGTCTTAAATTAGAAGGACAAAGGTTTAAAAATAATATCAGGAAGTATAACTTTACTGAGAGGGTAGTGGATGCATGGAATAGCCTTCCAGCTGAAGTGGTAGAGGTTAACACAGTAAAGGAGTTTAAGCATGCGTGGGATAGGCATAAGGCTATCCTAACTATAAGATAAGACTAGGGACTAATGAAAATATTTAGAAAATTGGGCAGACTAGATGGGCCGAATGGTTCTTATCTGCCGTCACATTCTATGTTTCTATGTTTCTATGTTTCTAAACAAAAAAGTCACTATTTTACAAGAACATCATTTGTGTTAGATGAAACAACACCCAGAACTTAAGCTGCTTTGTACTATAATGCTATTAATACATTAATTCTTACTACATGTAAGAAATATTTTCAGAGCTGTAGTGAACAGATGAACATCCCTGCCATAATTTATGACTAAACTGATTAATGAAATAGGGGAGTCAACAATGTGTATTCTACTGTGCTTTGATTGACTGCCACTTAAACCATTGGCATGGTCCTCATCAACCTATTGTTCCTGGAACAGTTTGTAATTGTGTCATTTATTGAGAAATTCCCCCTTTATAATATTGTAAAGTGCTGCAGAATAAGTTGGTGCAATATAAATGGCGAAAACAATAATGATAATAATAATAATGTGCTTTATGTATGAAAAATGTGTCCTTTTTTTTTATTTTTCAAAAGTGCTAAACACTTTAAATCAGTAGCTCCTCATTAACAAAACAGCTTGTACATATTGTTCTCATGTCGTTCTTATGAATGGAGAACTGCAGGTTGGCTTAAAGCAATCTGATGCTCTCAGCTATTTAGTGGTGCCCTTTTCCAAAGTCAGTGTGAGGCTTCCTATTTTAATAATCAGTAGTGGAACGGCAGGGGCAGAGCTGAATGACATCAGATTGAAATATTTGGTGGTTAAGGCTTTCAGGAACAATATAACCCCTAGAGCTAAGCTGGTGCCAGGGACCTCCTGGCACCATAACAACTTAATTACAATAAAGAACCCATATAAGAACTGCAAGATAAGAAAATAAATCTGTAAATAAATACAAGCTTTAAACAGCAACATACATACACACACAATTTCTGTTTATGTTCTAGCTATACAAAAAAGAAAAAAGAGCTTCCCAATATCTTAAAATATTACTTAACTTTTATTAGTCCTTTAAAATTACTTATTTTATTATGATGACAAAGTACATAAAATAATTTTACAGTTCTTAACAGCAAAAAGTGATGAGAAAAAATACTGCCTAGAATATGGTCAATATTAGCAGTATCAGGTACATAGTGATTAGCAAATTAAAAATAAATTAACAAATTCCCCCCATCAACGGTACGTCCTGCTTCTGTGTAGACTACCGGAGGTTGAACGACAAGACTGTGTCGGACGCATATCCTATTCTCCAAATCACTCTTAGACAGGATGGTGGGCGGTCAGTACCTCACTACAATTGATCTCTGTAAGGGGTAGTGGCAAATCCCCTTAGCCAAAGAAGCCATTCCTAAGTTGGCCTTCGTCACCCCGTTCGGCTTATACAAATTTCGAGTCATGCCTCGGTCTACCAAAGAATGGTAGACAGACTCCTAGATGGCTCTCAAGACTATGCCTGTGCATATCTTGTTGATATTGCAATTTTTAGCAATACCTGGGAGGCGCACTTGGCCCATATATGTAACGATACCTTACCTTTCCTCCTCGGACCTGCGCCGCACGGCATCCTCTTCCGGTGAGCGGCACAGCCCTTCTGACACCGGCCGCTCACACCGCTCATCTCTTTATAATACGGCGCATGTGCGCCATAGTCGGCAAGTAAATGTCGACGTAAGTCACACGTGACCACGCCCCCGGACCTTTTGGAGGCGTGGTTTTAAAGCAATATACCCCACACTATAAAAGGGCGTCAATGTCACTTGTAAGTCGCCCTAGTGTGGTTTTTGTTGGTTCCTCTAGTGCTTATAATCTTCTTAAGTGTTGATTTCCTGGTTATTGACTTTTGGCTTTCCCTTTTGACTATTCTGCTCTCTGGTTTCCCATACTTTGGCTAGGTTACATCGTTTATCAGTCTTCTGTACTCCCTTGATCTCTGGCTATCCATTTGACTACTCTAAACGTTAGTCCGGCCACTCTAAGGTCCGGTATATGTTCTTCTCTGGGTTACACTCTGTGAGAAGGGGTCACTGTCGTGACAATATAAGAGCGGTCCTAAATAAAATTAGGGAAGCTGGCTTGAGGCTGAAGCCCAGCAAAATTAATATAGGAATGGCCAAGGTACAGTACCTCGGTCACAGAGTAGGATGCAGGAGGCAGAAACCAGAGCCTAATAAGATTGAGGCAGTAGCCCAGTGGCCTACCCCCAGGACTAAGACCCAAGTCCAGGTCTTTTTAGAAACAGCTGGGTATTACAGAAAATGTGTCCCTAATTATAGTACCCTGACCAAACCCCTCACCAATAGGCTTGTTTGTGTTCCCCAAAGAGGAGTTACAAGGCCTTTAAGTGTCTTAACAACTCTATCTTGGCCATGAGTTTGACTGACACCTCGGCATCACTGCCACCAGAAATACCACCACTAGATATATAGTAGTATTAATGCCTCAGGATGGTGGGACTAGCATGTCCGTTATGGCCAACTCATCACATAGGAGGTGGGACTAGCATGTCCGTTATGTCCAATTCATTAGAAATGTTTTTTCTCTGATTTTTTTTATTTTTTTATTCTTTAATTGGTGACAAAAAATCTAAAGTACCAGAAGAATCGGTAGTTCCAGTAGCAGAATCTGCAGTGGTGGTCTGCAGACCCAAGTTAATATGTTTAAGCTCTATCACAGTGACAAAACAGTGAAGAGATTCTAATGGTGGCACCAGCCAGAGGTGCAGACTATGCACTACACCACCAGACCATCAGGAACTCATTTTTATTTAAGATATTGCTGATATGACAATATAAAAAATAAAAATTATATTGCATTTCTGATGGGGGCCATGCAGTGTCCTTGGATACTTTCCCTCCATGCTGGAATTCACTTATGTTAGTGCTGATCATGTCTGGGAAGCTAGGGATTCTTAAGCCACTAGCCACCCCCTCTAAATATGTAGCTACCTACACAACGTATACTAATAATAGTGAGAAAAAGTCCAATAAATCTAAAATAAATACATGAATAAAATCCTGCAAAACATCAGGGGGTCAGAGTAAGCGGCCACAGCTCTTTGCTGCTCCGCAGCTATTTCTATTGTGACTCCTACGACTATTACACCAGTTCTCAGATTCCTTGGCCAATCAGGCCTTTTTTATGACCTCTGACCTACACATCTATGCACAAACCCACATGGAATACTGGAACGCTACAAGAAAAGAAGATAGCCTCCACTGAACCACTGTGGATTTCAGCCATTTTGTATTTTGTAAATCAAACACCCACCACACACATCATACAACGCAAACACACATAACACACACAGCCAACACACCCATTACACGGAGCTAAACACACAAATATCCAGCATATCACACACAGCTAACACACCATCACACTGTCAGGCTATGAGCAAATCCTCAGCAATATACAAGTCAGCATAGAAAGCATTGGGGGGCTAGTGTGCATGTGTGACAATTGCTGCACTGTGCCAATCAGCATCTACTCATAAAAATGCATTTACGTAGTGCATCACTATGGGGCACAAGACCAAGAGCCTCCACCCTCCAGCTGGGACCAACATCTAGAGGCTTCTAGGATCGCTCCTGTACTGCCTACCTAAGCATTAAAACTACCCAGAAGATGCCAGTGGCGGATCCAGAGCCTGATCTCGGGAGGGGCACTTGTAGATTATATAAAGAAATAATCCATGCACAATAACCACTACAGCTCCGGTTATGGTGCCAGGAGTGCTGGGACCCCCTCCCAGAGTAAGTAGTCAAGCTATTTAAGAACAG